ATATATGTGTGTGTACTGTGTATATTTATTATGTATATATATATATATATATATATAAAGACACATATGCAGCATATATTTTTAAAATATTTACATGTATATTTCTATTCATATAAATTACATATATAAATATATTTAATATATAAACGTAACATTTTTCTTATATACAAGCATGTGTGTGTATTTATATATGCATAAATATACACAGTGACAGTACACACAAGTATATTACGTAAACAAAAACTTTTATTCTGGATGCGATTAATCGTTTGACAGCACTAATATACTTACATATATACATACATACATATATCTCACTGACCCCAAACCTTTGAACAGTAGTGTATAAATGTACATACATTCCATAATTAATTATTTGGTTTGGCCAGAACTCACTGCATGTGCTTGTTGTGAGGATGTTCCATGTGTGAATGCGCCTGGGGAAGCTGGCCTTGGTGGATGTGCATATGGTAAGCCAGACTGTCCAAAGAAAAACCGCAAGACATTTATGACCAAAACATAACAAGAGCAAAGAAATGCTACTATTTTAGGCTATTTAGGTTATTCCCTTTATCTTAATCAACTGAACATCTGCAACAATGCAACAGAAAGACTATGGTAATATAGATTTCATTAATTGGCTTGGCTCTGACCTTGCCAGGAGGGATCTGGACAGCAATAGAGGGAGTAGGCAGCATACCTGCAGCGCTCACATGCAGAGCCTGCGGATGCATGGGCCTCAATGGACTCTGAAAACACAAATATGAGTAATGTTTGCACAGACACAGGCATCCAGTGAACCTCTGCACTTAGCTGTTCAAAGCAGCTGACCTTCCTTTGTTCCTATTTATCAGAGTTTGCATCCTGACCGGCCCTACTTACCGAGTCTGTGAAGCCGGACTGCTGGTTAGCATGTTCCAACTGTTTCTGCAGGGGAATCCCAGCACTGGGGATGTAACCTGGAATGAAAGGAGGAATACAGAAGGATTGCAAAGGTGTCTGCCAAAAGGAAGATGGAAAAAAATGTAAAACCTATGTGGGACAGGCCCTGTTGAAAAACTTACTGTCTTGCTGTCTACTGTATACATACACTAGTTCAAAAGTTTGGGCTCAGTAAGATTTTCATCTTTTAAAAATAATTCTTCTATTCAGCAAGGATGCACTTTATTAATTTAAAGTGACAGTAAAAATATGTATAATGTTACAAAAGTTTTCTATTACAAATAAATGCTGATTCTTTTGACTTATTCATCAAAGAATCCTATTTTTTAAAATAAAGTATAAAGTATTTTACAATATTATTGTTTTTATTGATTTTTTTGATCAAATAAATGCAGTCTTGGTGAGTGTAAGATACTTCTTTTAAAACATTAAAACTAAACTGACCCCTAACTTTTGAATTAGTTATTCTAACTAAAACTGCACCTTAGATTGGCTGATCTGAAACACTATTTATGCACCACAACATTAGTAATCACTTATCACCACACATATTTAAATATACTATTTCATTATAAAAGTATGCTACAGTGTAGCAACATGAACTCATATACACACACAGGCACATTACACACACCAGGCTGAGAGGTGAAATGACTGTGGACCGCATAGCCCTGCTGCTGATGGGGCAGGTACTGCATGGCCTGGAATGCTGATGCACCTGGAAACAGAAAATGATAACATCTTGCAAGCAAGTAACACATCTAAACATGGACTGAAGGAAAATACGAACAAGGCACCTCTAAGTTGTGAACCACTGGCATAGTTGGCTGGCACCGGCTGACTGGAGGCAAAAGGTGATGCATGCTGCGGCTGAGTGACTCCATACGGGCTGTGACTCGGCTGGCCTCCAGAATACTGGCCGTGCTCTGTTCCACCTGCACTGAATCCCGGCTGAGACTGGAAATGACGCGTCTGAGACGGTGGCAAGCAGCCAATAATGGTTTTAATGAACAAGCGCACACACACCGAAAAAAAACATTTTTTCTCATTATTATTACAAATAGACTGATTTACACTAAAATATCACACTCACGGGAATGACTGGAGACTGGAAGAGCTGTTTGCTGCGTTCCCCAAGAAGAGCACCTGGACGCCCATGACTAACCTGACCTGCTGAGTGAAAATGAGCAGTGGAGCAAAATGAAGTCATTATTGAAGGGCAATTCTAGTAAATTCTGACAGTTACAGCTTTATACTTCTTTGACAGATCACTGAAGATGCCAAACAGTGGTCACCTTGCATGCTGAGAAGGTGCTGCCCAGAGTGGATGGCCATGTTAGACTGGTATGTTGCCGAAGTCAGAGATGTCATGTCACTGTAAACATATAAAAGAATTCTAGTTATAATAAACTGATTAACAAATGACATTTTCAAAATCTCTGACAGCTTTGGATAATAATTTCTCCTGTCATATATATATATATATATATATATATACTGTATATACAAATGCATATACTGTATATTCACATGCTGTATACACAACCAATATTTTTTTAAGGTCTTTTATGCTCAACTAAGCCTGGCTGTCACGATAACAACTTTTTTGTTGTGCGATATATTGCCCCAGAAATAATTGCGATAAGCAATATTATTGTCATTTTAAAGACCATTTTATGCCACTTAATATATAATCATAATGTAACAGCATAATAATGCAAGAAGGCCTACACACTTCCAAATGACAACAAACTTTTAATTTTTAAGAATATATAGATCATGGAAATTAAATATTGGAATATTAGATTCCTTAAAAAACCTGAATAAATGGTAAATAAAAAAAAATCTAACAAAAAGTGCAAAGTAACAAGTAGAAAAAAAGAAAAATGCAAAGACCTTGTATGGAGATTTTTTCCCTGACCTTTTTTTCTCTGTAAATTAATGGTGCACACAGGGCAGGACTTATCAATTAATTTGCAATATGTCTAGGCTATAGTCAAAGTTTAAATGTAATATTAAATATTCATTATAATATAATAAACTAGATGTGTCAAAACCCTGAAATAACTGAGCAAAAAAAAAAAAAAGCCAGATATGTTGGCTTAGTAGTATTATAAAAGTTATTGTCATACCTGTGTCCTCATATGTCAGGTTCTTATTTAATCAATAAATTCAATCGAATAAAAAAGACATGCTGGCTATTAACAATCAAATTAAATCACTATCAACAAAATTCATAGATGGATTGTGCATAAATGTTATATAACGTTTTAATGTAGAAATATTAAATGATTGCAAAAATGAAATAAGCTACTTTTTTAAAATATGAAACTACAACCGCCAGTAGGTGGCAGCAAGTGACTGTCTTAATGAGTGAGTTGAATCAACCGATTCATTTAAAAAGGTGATTAATTTAACTTTGCAAACGACTGTACTTATAGCCTGATTGAATCATTTGCTGGTCCATGTAATGCTGAGGAACAAAACACTGTTGTTCGGAGACGCAGCGGTTCTGCGGTTTGTTCTATTTTATTTCTGACGGAGCAAAACGGAATTTTGTGTCTGAAAGTTACTCTGTAATAGGCTAAGTCCTATATCATAGGCATAGCTATGTTATAAGAACAGAAACTCATTAAATTGGTAATTCATTTTTTATTTAAAATCATTTTGATGACATTTCTTCCCCACTATGTGTAATGGCAGTAAGACGAGAGAGAGCGCTCAAAACTCATCAGATGATCGCATAATTTAGTGAAACATTAATATAGTAATATAGAATCATCCTCTGTAAAGAAATGATGTGTGAACATTTGAGAATTTATCATTATCTTTCTAAATGTGCACCCTCTGGGGCTAAAGGCTTAATGGAGCTGTTTAAAGTAACCATGTGATAAACTAATCGGTGCAGACGCGATTCAATACGTGTGTCCTTCTTCTATGTGAAATAATCATAAATACCAGTTTATGCTGTTTGATTGTGGCCTTGAAGGTCGTAGTTGTAAGCTGTAGCCCCGGCTGGCCCGTTTAGATCTTGCGTGCACATTGGAAATGCGGCTAATAATTTCTGAATTCTGACTGAGCCCACTCAAGCCCAATGGTAAGTCCGGCCATGCGTGCACACTATTGCTGAAAAACACAAATCACTACTTAGCAGTCAGATGACCGTATGCACAAAGGCACAGATCCCTAAACAAGGCCATATCTGCAGATGAAACTTTTTTTTTGGTAGAAGCATTTTTTAAAATTTGAACTAGCACCTCATGACTACACCACGCTATGTACGAGAAGCTGCAAAAGACACAGGCGCAAGTGGAATGTACAAACATGGTGACATTAATTTTTAAGTAAATGGGCGATATATTGCATCACCAAAAATGATTGAGGTCATGTACATATATTGCGCGGTAAGTCGATATATTGATTATTGTGACAGGCCTATGCTCAACAAGGCATACACAAAAACAGTAAAACTGTAATATTGTGAAATATTATTACAATTTAAAATAACTGTTTTCTAACAGAACTCTTTTCTGTTTGATTAGTGCCAGTCAGAAGAAGTCGGAGCATTGAAAACTAATTTTTTATCATCATGTCTGCTTCTTCTGCTCTTCTCCGGCTTTCTCAGTCAACTTCTTGACTGTTAAAACAGTTTTGAGTACCAGACAAAACAATTGTTTTGGATTCCAGACAACTATGCTGACTAGTTGTTCGGATCCCAGACAAAACGGAGAGGATCTGGCTTCTGGGGTTTGATATACTATTTATGGCGTGAAGACTTAACTTTTCCATTTGACATCTGAATTTGCAAGCTCTCTTTTGCATACCTCTGTTCTTTCCGTCGTCTTTTCTCCTCCTCATGTAGGACTTTCTTCAGCTGCAGAAAAAGCTGATGCTTCTCCTCTTGAAGACCCTGCAGCTTCACTCCCATCTTCATTATCTAATAAGAGAGAAATAAAGGGTTGTTCATGAGTCCTAAACAACATAATTACAACACCATTTGTAAATAATCCAAGTATTAATCAATCATATAGACGCACCTGCTCTTTTGTTTCCTCTAAAGACATTCTCTCCTCCATCTCTTTCTTCCTCTTCCTCTCTTCCTCTTCTTTTAGTTTCTGCTCCATCATTTTGTCAACCTCTTCTTCCTCTGAGATAAACAATTGATAACCGATCACAAAGTACACATGATCAACAACACTATAATTCACACAATACGCCATAATTCAATATGGAAATTATTTTATTCTTTATTTTAGTAACAATAATATACAGCAGAATTCTGGGCTCACCTTGCCTCTTCCGCTCCCTCTCTCTCATAATGTGCTTGTGCAAGGCACGTGCCATGGCATTAGACAGTTTGGGCCTCTCCAGAAGAGCCGGCATGATGGTAGGGATTGGCGGTGCCAGCTGTCGAGATGTTAGAAAAATGTTAAAACATTAATATCAGCATCTGCATTTTTAGTCACTAATGAGTCCACTAAGACTGAATTCAGATTTTAGTGGCCTTACCACAACTAGAATAGTCAGAGTGAGAAACAATTCAAGAACTGATAGTCTGGAAATCATTTAACCATGTTAAATGGCAACGTTAAAAATATAACAGAACCAAGAACATTCTTAGCATTGCTGTACAGCAGGATTTAGACATTTGACGGGTTCAGGAGGACACATCACAAACACAAACTTAAGGCAGCTGTCAAAAAGTTGACAAGCCTTGCTAACGTTGTTTAAACCAACTTACCATATCAATTCTAAAAACCAAAGACTACGAGTTAGAGCAAAATATAAATAAGAAGAAAGAGATGTGGTAATCTGAGAAGCAATACAAGGCAATAAATTAGCAAACTCCCTGAACTGGGTTAGCTCTATAACGGCTTCACAAGCTAGCTGGCTATGCTTGCAGTAACCTGAACGTTTTGACAGTCGCTTCAGCTAATCTGTCCAAGAAAATCATCTTTCATAAGCTCGATGTTACAGACGAAAGCGATTTCAGTATTTTCTATTTGCAGTAAGTTGCATTAACACCTGACCATTAGGCCAGCAGGCTAACGGCTAAAGTGACAGCTTAGCCAGCTAGCTTGCAAAATCAGCGAACTAAATAAAACTCTTGCAGTGACATTCGTGGAATCTTCATGTAACGCACTTTTGTCCGTTTCTGAGATTAAAAGTATGCTGAGCTTGTCTGAAGGCTTTCCTTAAAGAAAAATAAACAAGTGTATCAGTAATTAACCGAAATATTGACAGGAAACCCAGTTTGGCGCACTTCCGCTGTGGACGTGTATTGATGACGTCACGTGTCATTGAGCAGAAATGAAACGCCCATCAAGACGTAATAATTAATTTGACATGCAAATACAGAATATTTGTTTTCTTTTTTTATTTTTATAATTGCTTTTTGTTGGAATATATTCATGTCTCGCTTCCCTGTTTCTGTATGTTTCTACAAGTTTTGTAATAAAAAAAATAAAATAAAAAACGCCCATCAAGACGTTTCATCAGCCCGGCTTGCAGCTATGGTTTTGAAAATATTTTTGCTTTTTTCCCCACATAAGACAAGTCTTATAAGGAATATAATTGACATAATCTGCTATCGTCTAAATAAAATGTCTATTAGCTAAATATAGTATACATAAATGTAAATATGTGGGAAATAAGTTTTTTACTTTGAAGGCAAAAGCTGAGTAATACCTAAAACAATACAATGTTTGAAAAATAAAGCTGTTAAATGTGTTCATTTTTTATTGTAACATTTATTTGAATGTTTTATTTTATTTCTTCTGATTTTATTTTTCTGTTTCTGTATGTACCTGCACAAGTCTACTAGGCATAACTTTTAATTATTTTTAAATCATATGCTTAATTCTTTATGAAACCTTTTATCTATATCTATCTATCTATCTGTCTGTCTGTTCTCAGATCTGTGAGAAAAGCATAACTCAAAACCCATTAAAGACTGACACGGGCAGCTTTTTACATCAGGTTTATAATTATGGCAAGCTTAAGATTGGTGACCATGACAATTAACGCTTTTAGGGGAAAAGGAACAAAACACACCAATCCATGATACAAAAAAAAAAAAAGAGGCCAATCAAGTCATGAACCTTGTCAACCTCATAATAATGATTATAAGAAAATTGAAACATAAACAAGCAATCTCCTACATGTCAAATGAAAATAAACATTTTTTTGAAATCTTTTAACCAGCTTATTCAAACGAACAGCAGCCCCAACCCATTTCAAAATAATCATTATTGGCAACGGTACACAAACACACTCACACTCACACACATTACATGGTAAGATAGTCCAGTATTATCAGTGATTTTGGTCTGTGCAAATATGGTGGCTAAAAAACAAACTCGAACCAAACATTAAAGATCGACAGAATAGCAAGGTGACTGCAGGATGCATGTCGGTGCTGGGGGAAAGTGAGAAAAGGTGAAAGGAGAAGTGTAGAACATTGAAAAAGCTTTTACGGATATGAGTACCACTAATTTACTGAAACAGACCAGGACGTAGGCTGTATCCGGTCTGCCTAAAAGCAAGACTGAGGGAGGAACTCTTAAGTAGGAAGGAACAATATGCAGGCAGCATAGAGTACAAACAATATTTCATAAACAGACTAGGAGGATATGAAATTGCATTCAACATGTACACTTCAAGTGGCCTAACGTATTGATCATTTTATTTTAAGGAAGGGTAGTGTGGGGCAAGTAAATTGGTTACACATCTCGCAAAACATCCCCATAGACGCTTTCATCACTGTAGGCAATGTAAAGGAAAAAGTCTTCTTCATGGTGCTCCTACAACACAGAAACAGAGACGAAGAGTTTAGAGATGCTTCTTTTTCATTAATCAAAAATGACATTTTATGAATTCTACTGATATAAACAAACCGGCGCAAAAGGTTCAGTTAAAACAAACAAAAATAATTATGTTCAGATACATTCAAATGATGTACCTGGTAAAGCAGCCCCATAGTGGCTGATGTTGGAGGAATGACGTTGTTTACAAAGAAGAAGAGGGCATCTTCGGCCCTCAAGTGGATCCTTTTCCGAATGAGGAAGTAGAACTGCCCCACTTCAGAAATAAGAAAAAAAAATGTCAATACATATTTTTTTAATACCATTAAAGATTATGCAAATTGTTCTGTATTGCTCAAGGAAATGAACCTGTGAGGTCAGACGGGACGAGATATTTCTTCTTGTCCAGATCTCCTATTCTGGCTTTGGGAGCTTTCTCGACGATCACCTGTGGAAAACAAATCACTGCTGGTAATAACAAACACTGACAGTAATGCGAGCACAACAGCATCGTTTAGTAGTATAATAACAATGCTGTTATGGGAATTCCCCAGCGTAGGGCACATTCCCATTCTAACAATTTTGGCTGCTGATATTTGACGGTCGACACATAATGCAACCGAAAACGAACCCAGTGTGAGGCCACATGGTAATGTGTCAGAAAATTTCATATTCTTGTCATTTAGTCCTCGATTCTGTCAAAATAACAAGGTTCATATGAATGACTCGCAGAGGCGATCTCTCTATATGATATTTAATACCTTGAATGTAAACTTACATCACATAATCTTATAAAAAAATGTACTGTTTGTTCTATTACTTGTACTGTAAACGATGCCACAGTTTTGTATTGAGACGGAAGCTAACAGGCTAACGCCAGTCCCTTCATATATTTGAAGGACAGATTAAAACGACGATGACAATGCACGATTTCGCGTGTTTTTAGACGAACGATTATTTTCACACGGTTTCCCCTCATAAATTAGCGTTGTCACTGTAAAGCCTCGGTTTATGTTATTTGTACGAGTGGGGCCCTGATAAAAACAACTAATTTGTCTGACTCACAGGCACTCTATCCGGGTACTTCTTTCTGATTTTCTCCCCTTCGGACCGTCGCTTCTCAAATGGATGTTCTTCTTTGTACATAAACTTCATTGTCACAGGCTGGGAGATCTTAAAAATCTCCAAGAAAATCTGCCGTGGATGGTGTTTACAAACTAGCTTGCTGTTTTTTCTCTTTTGGATAACTGCGTCGGAGGGCGGAGGGATATCCAATAACAAGGAACAAGGGAGGCGGCGAACGACACGTCACATTCTTCTTCTTCTTCTTCTTCTTTTGGTTTTATGGCGGGTTGCGAACCAACTTCATAGGTGCATAGACACGTCACATTACGTCAGTTGCGTAATGACGTCTGCAGTAGCCTGGAGGCCTACGTGGCATTACCTGAAACTGTAGTGTAGAACTAGATGTCAAAATAAATAAAATAAAATGCCGGCTAAGTTTGACAAATTAGTCATTAGAACCCACAGAAGAGTTTCAAGTTCAATCAAAACACATCTGATATTTTGCTAAGTCTGAATATGGTAGGGGGTTGTTTAGGTAAAACAAGGACAAAATGTCAAACCCATGCCATGAGGCAAAGTAAACAAAGAGGACTTAAATAAAACTTTAGGTCATAGATGGGTACCTTACAGAGGTATTTAAAATCCAACAGTAAAATTTAGTTTAATAAATGCCTAAAAAAGAAAAGGTACAACTGAGACTATCAAGCTGCCGGCAGTCCCTAGAAAAAGTCATCCTTCAAAATGATTTGGAAGACAAGCCACAAAGCCACAGTGAAGCCAACAATTTCTTTGACCATGTAAGTGGAGCAATGATGCATCAGTTTGCCATCATGAAATCTACAAAACACTAATTGCAGGGTGGCACAAAAGAAGCCACTATAAAACATGTAGAGATGAAGATGAACTGCTAAAAGCATAATATTAACCCTGCGGTGAATGGGTCAGATTTTGTGCTCAGAGTTTTTGACAAAATTCAAATTGTGGCACAAATCCAACATTGCCCACACTTTAAACACTGGGCCTTATTCATGAAACACAAGCAGAATGAATTTTTGTGAAAACCATTCATAAAGCCATTCTCGCATAATTACATGAAATGCTCCACTGAATTAAACTGTATAAGAATGTTTTTTATAAATGTTGTACATAGAAATATGTTCTGCTTGTGCTTCACGAATGGTATGTATGTATGGTACTGGGTTGATTTTTATTAGAAGTAACAGCAAAACAAAGCAAAAATAATGCAGAAACTGTTTCAGTTAGCTAAAAATATTAAGTTATTTTGAATATATATATATATATATATATATGTTCTACTGCCAAACCCCAATCCAATTCAATCTAGGCACTATTCAAAAATTGTAGTGCATCATCTTAACAAAATAAAAAACACTGGAACAAATATAAATAGAAGAATGGGCTAGTCATTCCCAATTTAGATTTTTTTTTCCATTCCCACCAATTATGGTATGGTATTTTCACTACAAATTATGAGGTCAAAAAAAGAAAAGAAACATGCATGAACAAATTGTTTACAATAAGATGCATTTAGAATATAGATATGCATGAATTTTCATTTCATACAGACTTTAAATTCATTTATAGCTTTGAAATCTAAATATCACAAGAACAAAACAGAATCCAGGATCTGTAATTCAGTAAAATGAAAATTGGTTAAGAGTCTGAATACTTAAAGTTCAGCCAATCTAAAATGTTAAATACCCCCCAAAAAGTGGAAGAGACCATCATTTCAGTTGCTGACAAAAGGCTCTATTTTATTTTTCTGTAATAGAAGAGTCCTTGTTGCTCAGTGTCTCTCTCAGTGGCTGATGTATCCATATCAATGAGCATCTAAAAATGCGTCCTCGAAAACCTCTCTGATTTAACCAGAGGTTTTACATATGAGCCATAATACACAGAAAATGAATACCATAAGCTGTAATAATGAACTGTAGTTTTCTCTCCTGCTGCTCGTACATTTTTCTCTACCACAGTATACTATCAGTACAACGGTATTAACAGCTCTCAGCTCTTAACATAGAGAAGAGGCCCAGATACCTGAGATGGAAGACAGAAAAAACAAAGGAGAGAGGAAGGACAGAATCTTAGAGAGAGAATGAGTAGATAAGACCATGTGACCATTTGTGCTAAGGTCATACGAAACTAAAAAGACAAACACAGACGTTGAGGAAGGGGGGAATAAGTGCTTGTGAAGTGACTGGTAGTTACATCCCATTCACGGATTCATTTGCCCCCAAAAAAATGAAAGGTAAAATTGGAATCAGAAGCTTTCACTCGGAAACACTCCATCATGCACATGTTGAATGCAACAACTGTAAGGCAGAGTTTCCATTTTTTCAGGAAAAAAAATACAAGAAAAAAAAATGTTGGCCTCTCCATTTGCCTTGAGTTTATTTGTAATCGCTGCGTCATCATGTGTCTCTCCTTTCTGTCCTCCCATGTCTTCTATTAGCATTTCCTCAGAGGAGTCCATATGACTAATGGGAGCTCACGATGACGAGAGTCTGACAGTTCCAGTACAGGAGAGGCTAACACTTAGCGGGCAGAGCCATGTAAAAACCAGACGGCGACCAGAAGAGCGACTGGCCCTGACAGATATGATCACCAAAGCCGATGCTGGTGGAGATTTCGACTGAGGACGGAGCGAACGTCTGAGGTAAACCTAGAAAGGGTGTGAAAAAACAGTAAGGGCAACTTACTGAAGTAGCAACATAAGACGTGACAAAAGTTCAATCGGAACAGAAAGATTTGTGGGTGATATAGCAGTCATGTGCAAAAACTCCCAACCAATTTTTACTTGTTTTCTGAAGAGAAATAAAGAAATTAACTTTTATTTCACTGTAACAATATATCCCACAATATAGTTAGTTTTGCTTTAAATAAGGTCATTATGATATCAACATTTTTGATACCATAGAAAGTTCATAATTCTTGTCACCAGTGTCAATATCACAAAAAACTAATACTACCCTAAATAAAAAAAAAAAACACAAACAAACAAACTCAACCTTACTGAGGACAAGTAAACAGTCAATGATCATAAAAAGGATAAGAAACTAATTACAAGCAATAGGACAAAAAAAACACTACACTAGAACTAAAGTAGAACAAATAAATAAAAAATGCTATATACACTGTATAAAGTAATCCAATAAAAAACACTGCCTATTCTTTACTGTGTAAATTAAATATATATTTCTTCTAATTAAAGTTACAAAGGTGATTTAGTCAAGAGCTGTGAGAGATTTTCTCTTTTGTTGTCTGATAAACGTGAATGACAGACAGCAGGAATATTAGACTTCTGTCACTTTAAGAGCTGCTTGGATCCAATATACTGTTACACGTTTTCTTTCTCAGCTCTTTGCTTTCACTTAAGACCTAAATTACTGCGTTTATGAGGATACATGCAAAGATAGGCATTTTGACATACAATTGTGTGTATTTAACCAGTCAAGGCCTATAAAGCAGCAAAAATAACTCAGTTCTTCACATGCACATAGCGAAATGAGTTCTCTTTTGCTGCTGATTGTAATTCAACAGCTTAAAATACCTTGTTTTTTTTACTGTAATGCTTAAAAATGCGTACAAATGATACGTTTACATGACCGCGTAGCACAGCAATGCCACGTGAGCATGTAACCGGGATAGATGATAAAAAATCGAAATCTCACAAAATTGTGTCTATTGGTGTATTACCTACCCCTAGTATACATTCAGACAGATATGATGACATATGTTCAAACTGTGCAGAATTTATTGGGCATAAATTAGGCCTAGTCATGATTAAAAGAGGTTACTATGACCATGACTTAAAGAAATGTTAATACCTCAATGCATCCAACATTGGGAGCAGGTTAAGAAGTGCTGTGTCGCTTGGGTCACTGAACCACGACTTTATAGGTATTGCATTGTCTGGGGGTGAAAACAAATTAAAATGACATTCATAAAACAATTTATTACACAAAATAATTTTTTTTAATAGATGCTCAAGATGAATGTCTGTCTCCCTAAACATAGGATTAACATTACATTTTGAAAATCAGAGTGGACTGATACTAAATCATCTTGAATGTGCTCGCCATAGATGTACAGATATAGATCTCTAACCTGGGTGACTTCGATAAGCTCCAGGCGAGTTGTCCAGAATGACTATACTGGAGAGATCACTGTGTACTACAGACAGATCTTTTATGTAGCTCCCTAAATCCAAAGTACAGTGCTACAAAAAACGGGAAAGAGAGACACAGATGAACAGGTTCAGTAATTGAACAAACAGACATGAAAAACTACTTCCTAGGCAGGCTCAATCAACAAAAGTCTGTGCAGAGAGTAAGAACTGGTCCTAAAATACCTTATCAGGAGCAAATGTGGAGGCAGTGGGTTTTTACCTGTCTGTAGTATCTTCTTTTGAGGACATCCCTGTTGTTATCCAGCTTATCTGCTACAGCCGATCCATATATCTCCATACTAGCTGTAAATACTACCAGCTCATACCACTGACTAACCTGATATATACCAACAAGAGGACACACTATACACATTAGAATATTGGTGAATTAATTTTGTCAAAAGAAAAATTTGTTCACAAAGCAAATGCAAGTAAACTGGCAACATTTACTAATTAAAAAAAATTACTAATTTGTTTGCTCATCTGCTCAAATGACAGAATTTACTCACCACTTCTAGAAAGAAGTCGACGTGTGGCCTTTTATGGACAAAAAACCTGACTGGGTGTTTGTCTATTACCACCTGAGAAAGAGAGAGAAGGGGGGGGAAACAAACTTTCATGCATAATCAAAATTGATCAAAGCTGCATTTTTTAAATTGGAAAAACAGTAAATTATGAAATATTATTATAATTTAAAATACCTGTTTTTTTTTTATACATTTTAAAAATGTAATTTATTCCCATGATGGCAAAGCTATTTTTTAACAGCCATTACTCAAGTCTTCAGTGTCAAATGATCCTTCAGAAGTCATATGCTGATTTGGTGCTCAAGTAACATTTCTTATTATTATCAATGTTGAAAACAGTAGTGCCGTTTAATATTTTTGTTGAAACCATGATACTTTTTTCCAGGAATCTTTGATATGAATAGAAAGTTCAAAAGACGGCATTTATTGAAAAAAATAGAAATATTTTGTAACATTGTAAATCTACATTATAATAATTTTACTGTCAATTTAATGCACGCTTGCTTAATATAAACATATTAATTT